AAACCTACAGGTGCCCCAATAGAAATTCTGCCAAACAGGCGTCCAAACTAGGCCTTCGGGCCTACTCTCGGACATAGCGCCATACGAAAAAAAAATAGTTAATTATCATTATTGTACAGTTAAGTAAATTTACAAGTAAATCATTTGACTTGAGTAGATAAAGGTAACACCAGTGTGTAGCTGAATTAACTTTATAGTTCAACCTAAATAAGTTATATTKAAAATGGCTTTAATGTGAAAATCATTTTGTATTAAATATTGATTCTATAATTGTAATAATTGTATTAATAAATGAATTAAATTAATCCAAGTAAATAATTATTAATTAACCCTTAATAAGTGTTTTGTTGTTAATTCAACACTAGATTTGTACGTGTGATAGTTAGCAATACAATCTACATTATTATGTTACCACAAGTCTAGAAACGTGAATATTTTGTATTTTTAATTTTTTGTTCTTATTTTCTGTTAAAAATGTTTTATTTTATCACAGAAATAAAAATATTATATGATTGTAAATCCATTGTAAATCCATTGTATAGTCAACAATCAACCACATTTTATAAAATATTACAATTTACAATGATTGCACTTTTATTTTCTTGGGCTCTTTTTCAGTGGGTTTTTTGCGGGGTGTATTTTTTTCCGTGGCCATTTTTTCCGCCTCCCATAATAAGGTCATCAATAGCAGTTTGAAGAGAAAGAGAGGAAATATTTATGATAATGTATTATTCTTTAGTTTAAATTCCCAATTAATAAATTAAATAATTATCAAAAAAAATGTTATAATGAAATTATTTAACAAAATTAATTTTTATGAATGAAAAATTATATTAATTTATATTGTTTGCAAATATCCTTGAATATCTAACCATTTTACTTGACATATCAAATAATTKAAATTTAGTTTATTTTATAATGAATAATAACATATTAACTTCAGTAATTTTTAATYTAAGGTATTGAATTCATACAAATTAATTATCTAACTAAATTATTTATTTATTATAATTTATAATAGCTTAAAATTTATTTTTGAAATATAATCACTGATACCTAAACTATTAACTGTGAAATAATATTTATAATTGTATTATTTTCAAAGGTCTCGACTTAGTATGTGATAAAAAATGTGAGAACAATGGTTGGTGTAATGCGGATAAAGTTTGTCAGTGTCCTGAAGGTTACATGGGACAGTACTGCAAAACAGCATTGTGTTATCCACAGTGTATGAATAATGGGACATGTGTTGCCCCAGGTGTCTGTCGATGTCCACCAGGTTTTCAAGGACCACATTGTGAAGGAGGTAGTAGTTTTAAGTGTTTTAACCAATTAATAAAAATATTTATTCTTTAAAAATATATTTTAGGTAATTTAAACATTTAATCATAGTTATTATAATCTGATATCATATAGGAGATAAATTCACACTCTTTTTGCTACTTCAATAGCTACTTTGCACCCAGTTTTGATGACTTTTGTTAATGCATCATAAAATGGAGCTTGCTCAGCCCCATGATCCATACCACAATCATGATGTTCTTGTTCTTCATCTCTAAACTTTTTGATGGTTTCAAGAAGCTCTTTGTCAGATTTGGGATCATCCATYAGGTGTCGTAATTGATCATTGTAGTGTTCTACGATAACAGTTTCTACAGCAACAGTGCAAGCCATAGCAGCTTTAGGACCCATTAGTGCTGTACCTATAAATATGATTTTTATATTAATTAAACATTTTTAGATTCAATTATCTTTGTATTAAAATATTTACCAGCTCCAAGTACATAGCCAGCACAATACCATAAAGGAAATAACAGTGATGGCCGTACTCTATTTTGGTTTATAAGTTGTTCAAATTTATACCTGTGCGCTTTTTCTTGTTCCCACATCTCTTTAATCTTTGGACCTACACTACTGTTTCCTAAAAATGATCAAATAATTAAGATCAACAACTGATAAAATGTGAATAATACATATTTTTTACATACCTAATACTGCCATCTGTCCTGCATATATACGATCAGCTCCAAGTTCTCCAGCATGATTAACTCTTATGAGACTATCTAATTTTTTGTTAGCACCATGCAATCCTCGTTGGAAAATTATTCTGGAAAATGTCATTTTTTGCAGAACCATTTTCATTTTGTTGTTATTGTTAGCCTATAATCAAAAATAACATTTAAAAAAAATTAATCATATTTTTTGCTTGWAGTACTTCCGATGGGAGGTCTTTTCCTCCTGTCTAATCTTTATTTTCTAACTCTTATCACTTATGAGGATGTCGCACCTGCATATATTGTCCCTGTCTCCGTATGTAAAATATTAATATTTTAAAATACTCATTACTCACTTAAAAATTAAAATATTGTGAAAACAGATCGAGCGAACACGATAATGTTCTTACCTAAGTTTTATAATAGGCTAATTCATTCTAATGTCTATACCGATAGCATCCTATTGATAGTAGTGATCAGAAATCTRATATGTCGTACGTGTGTAARACGAAGACAACACATGCGGGTGTGACGTCCTTTTATGTTTATTGTTGTAATTGTAACATATAGTGTAATATAGAATTTTGTTTAAAAYAAAAAAATCATTTTTTTTTTTTATACATTTCAGGTATTTGTGCAGAAAAGTGTTTAAATGGRGGAAAATGTATACAAAAAGACACATGCCAATGTCCTAAGGGGTTCTATGGTTTACGATGTGAATACTGTAAGTTTATCTACTTTAAAAAATGATTAGTTCTAATAGAAAGTTAACAATTTCAGCTAAATGTATTATACCATGTTTAAATGGTGGAAAATGTAAAGGAGTGAACAAATGTAGATGTATATTTGGTTTTCAAGGAGACCATTGTGAAATTGGTCAACCAATAAAACAATATTATAATTGCAAGAGGCCCTGCCATCATGGATATTGTACAGCAAATAGAATATGTCGTTGTCAACAAGGATGGTTTGGGAAATTTTGCCAAAGAAGTAAATTTAAAAACTGTTTGTTTACGTTGTAAAATTATTAATTGGTTTTATTTTTTATTTAGAAATACTCAAGCCAAAACACGATAATCATAGGTCAGAATATCCACATTCTTGTGAAGACGATGATGATGATATGGATGATTATGATGAAGTGCCTAAAAGTCATCATAGATGGCATTGACTGTACAATTAGTATGCAATTTAAGTGTTAATAAATGTATAAATAAATGATCTGTGATTTGTAAAGTATACTTAAAATATGTATCTATTGGGACTTATGTGCAAGTTATCAACAACTAACCAATAAAAAAGTTACTAAAAATGTTCAACTACCTAGCTTTACACAAATATTTAAAATTAAAATAAGCACTTCACTTATCTTTAGAAAATGGAAAGAATTAATTTAACAAAATAATTGGTTACACTTTACAAGTTTTAAATGTACAATAATAAATTATTTATCTATCAAATTGAAAACATTTAAAATGTATCTCCCAAAGTGTAAATAATAATTTCTAATTAGCATCAAATCAGTTGATTGTATAATGTTATAATAACGACCATCCACATTAATTAATATCTTAATACTTCTGATTTGATGTGACCTCAAAGCAGTCAAAGCTAATTATTAATATGATGTCAACCAGACAGCACTTTATAATTATATTTCGAAATATGAATGCCTAGTAATTTGTAGATAAGACTACTACAGTACAGCGAATAAATAATAGATCATTAATTCGGAGAAGGTAAGTTGGAAGGTCGTSACAAACGGTGCTAAGACCGAAGAAAACGGTACTCTGCACACGATTTCGAAATTTGGTGGGTAAAGCAAAACCGAGACTGAGCTAATTTACCAGYAGATGGCGGGGCGCGCGCACCAATGGCGTATGTCGAGTGWCAAAATGTCTCCTGGCTACCGCGGCTCAGCACTTGACGCGCGCAAAACTAGTAACCACCGACACGTACGGGTCCGCACGGCCTAATAACTACGACGCTCGCGCGTGCCTACGCCTTGCACACACACCGCTGTTTGGGTGTCGAAACGACGATTGAACGGGAAAACGTTCTGACGCCCGCGGTTTTCGGCGAACGGTTTTTCGCGGTAGATACGGCCGTACTGGTGCGAGAACCGTCTCGACTCTCGAGTGGCGCGACGTGTCGCCGGGGCGGCGAAGTATCCGAAAGTGACGTGAACGGGTCGGTGCGCAGACGCGTATTTAATTGCGACAACGACAAAGACGACGACAACGCCGACGACTACTACTATAAACTGTTATCGCAACAAGCACAATAATATTATTATTATTATTACCATTTAATAATATTATATCATTAAGCGCGGWAWAAACATCAATATTATTGTAATATTACATAATAATACGAGGGCATCTTATGGTATATTAATAACGTCTCGGGGGGGTGCCCGTGTAGGAGCGTGTACGACAGAATACAATCGGCCGCGTTGTGAGTAGTCGGATTGCACGACACGACACGCGGCGGCGGCCACGACTGCTGCTGCTACGAGTTACGACGGTAGACGACGACGGCTGTACAACCAAAATGGCGACGACATCGATCGGCCGGACGGACGGGGCCGATCGATAACAACGCGCCGCCCGCGTCCCCGTGACGTGCGTGTGTTCTACGGTATAATACACACGTAGACTATTATACAATACAAACCATGTAATACACGTCAAATAAATCTACACATATAACGTGATATCATATATAGGCATACGCGGTGAGTTTTTTTCCCATCGCCGTTACATCAGTTTTCCCTCTGTTCGCGTTACGTACCGGGCGAAGTGGTTATCCGTTCACGCGCCGTCGTCCGTGTGCTCGTACAGGGCCGTTTCAAAGGCGCCGGACCGGTGAAAAAGACGCGGTCGGTCGAGACCAAGAGATAGTTGCAGCCGGACGAGGTGCTGCCGTCGACGGTTTTTCGCGCGCGCCGCGTACGGGCGATGGACTCGGCCAACACGGGCACTGCCGCCGCCGCCGTCGACGCCGACGCCGACGCCGCAGCCGCCGTTCTCCCGTCACGCAGGTGCGTACGCAGCCGTACTCTGGTAATATTCATTAACGTCACCATCGGTGTGTCGCGTCGATTCTTTTACGCCATATCATGCGTGCTGCCAATTAGGGCTTTTTTCTTTTTTTTTCTTTACCTCGGCCTGCCCGCGAAACGTCTCKTCACCCACGGCGATGATTGCCGCTTCGGYGGAGGACCCCCCTGAGCTGGCGTTCGGTCCGGGCTCGACCGTTTTGTTTTTCGATACACCTTCTCGCGTAATCCAATCGAAGCGGCACACACGAACAACACGTCATGACACACACTGCGGCTGCGGCGGCGGCGGCGGTGCTTCTATAGGAACTAGGAAGTCCGTCGACGCCGACGCCGCGGTGACGACGTTGTTGCTGCGCCTTAGGAGTTGCGCCCGGCATAATATTATTATTATTATAATGTATGCCGTCGAGCTCCGCGACAGTAGTAGTAGTAGTAGTAGTAGTAATAGTAATAGTAGTAGTATATTAGTAATAGTAACAACTAGTAATTGTAGGCAACAATACCGTGTCGGAGACTTGTAGTAGATTCGAGGTGATATTAACCTGAAAATAATTTGTTTTATTAGGAGCACCGCGATTGGTAGTTGGCACGCATTGTTGATTTTCCACACTGTTGAGCCTAATCTAATACTTTGCCAAATTTACAATTTCTTCTAGGTCTCTMAAATTTTCGGCTCACTGTATTACGTTACCCCCCTCCGAAGATTATGTCGTTGTGAAACTTGATTATGCACGTCAAGTGAATAAACGGAAAAAATGTTTCGAGCACCCATACTTGATGTGCACGAGATATGAGCTTTTTGGATTTTTTCTCCTATTTGGTTTTTACGATTTCATTCGTTTTTATCATATCGCATTTCCTTCGTTGTGGGAACGGACATTATCTAATATTAACGTTATTATGACATTTTACACGTCGTCTGGTTTCCATTGTCACTATCAATCGCGCATATCGTTGTTTACTCCGTTATCTCAGAAATTCTCACACCCAACAACAATGTACATGTTGACGGCATCTAAAACGTTAAAATTTCACTCATGTACATGTTGCTCTTATGAGTTAGTATAAAACATTTTGATTACTGATTAATATATGTCGCGACGTCCAAACTTATGTGTATAATATATAATATTATTTATATCCATCAAAGTACATTAACATTTCGATCAAAAAATACTCTAACGTATCTTCGAGAGAATGTATTGTTTTGTTATCGGTTGTTCCTAACATTTATCTACATTCTACAATAATAGTTAGTTATTGGTTTCGAACTAACAGCATTTCTGGATATCATCCGCCGTTATCTCATGGAAGTTATAATTATATTATACTCGTGTGGTGATGCATAATGCATTACGAAATGTTCAAAATTATTTAAATTCAAGTTGACGGATAAAAATAATATTATCTTCATTCGTTTTAGTGGCTATATTATATTTAATCAATTTTGAAAATTGACTACATTCGTGGCCATGAATAAAACATCAAATTATTACTGTTAGGGATACCTTTATAGTTCATTTTATGCGTGAATATGATTTAAATAGATATTAAAACAGTTATGACAGTTTATAAGTTTTATTAATATTACTTATTATAATGGGACTGTGGTAGAATAAAGAAGTCGTTTAGTCGTATATTATTCATAATGTAAACAATAATTTTACCAGTGAATGTTTTTGTTTCGTGAACTTACCGGTAGATCACGCTGCAGTCTTTTGGCTCTAGTTTTCATACTTACATGTAAATTGCATACAATAAATGAAGACATATTGTAATACATCAATACAATATGTATTATAACGACATTATGMTAACTAAAAATCAACATTTATTATATTAATATTGGTTAGGTCAGTTAAAATAAAATAATTTTTTTATTAATTAATAGGTACATAACTTTAAAATATTTGAAAACTAAGTACCTACCTTAAACATTATTTTAACTCTTCTTTTTTTCCCTGGATATTTTTTTGGATGATCAATCTTGTTTTCTTGTATTCTCTCATTCTTATATACATGTAATAATGCAAACAACTTGTCATCACACTACTCTAGCATTAATGAATTTTTTGAATTGTGGACACATATCATCTCTTTTTTATTATTTTTGGTACAGATGAAAARGYCYTYYKGGRAWWWTTWAAAAAAAAWTTTATCTATTATKATTATTAAATACTTTTATTTGCAAGTTTCTTTCTCTCTGTAGAAGTTCAAAACCATATGGTTTCTTCTTCTTTGAAGTGTATTGTACAAACAAATGAATTTATGCTTAGTTCTATAACCCTCTTTGGTATAGCTTTTTTCCACACATCAAAATCTAATTGTTTWGCAGCAGCTTTAAACATTGAAACCTAATATGGTAAATTATATCATAGAACTTTAAAGCAAATATAAACAGTGCTTGAATTGGTGAGGATAAGTCTTTTTCGAGAAATATTTTGGTATACACTTTAAATATATTTCAGTCAGTAAATACCGGTTACTTCAGTTTTCACTTTTGCATCACCTTGGCAATTTTTTAAAATCAGAACTCTAAAGGACGTGTTTAATAATTATAATCACAAAATTTATCCATTTTTTATTTCAATAATCAATTTACTTTATTCTTACAAATTACATAGGTAACCGGATTTTCAATGTACTTCATAACACTTAACCATTTTAAATAAAAACAATTGTTAAGTATTTAAATAAATTAAGAATCATATAAATGTTTGTGACATTGTGTGAATATTCTAYTTCACAACTATAATAAATTACCTGTTATTTATGAGTAAACAAAAATGACAATTTTTATAAAGCCGAACGTTTGCAGGGTCGCTCAGTTCAGCTAGTTTTTAGTTTATTTCATCATGGTGAAAATCGTACAACAAAATAAAGTATAATACTATAATATCATAGATAATATATAATATATGTATATAATATAATTATTATTATAAGTTATAATATTATAAATAATCATTTTAGTTATTACTAAACAACTGTTACGCGATCTAGTGGTGAATTCTTCTTAAATATATACTTCTAAAACATGATTTTGATAGTTATGCGAATAACTCTATTATCTACCATGCTTATAATTTATAATATTATACACAATATGATTAAATATTTAGTCATGATTATACCACAGATTATATAAATATATATTTATATGTTTTATATAATCTGTGATTATACCTAAACTTAAATATTGATAACATACTTATTTGCTCTAACTATCGCCAATTCAGTAATTCCCTTATATTATCTATGCTTAAAACTGTTACACATTTKATGATAATAAATTACTTCTATAACTACCTTCTTAAAGTATTTCAGTAGTTGTTAAATACATTTTAAAACTATTAAAATTACGAAGAGTTCAGACTTGGGTACTCRGATATTTTGTTTTGTTGTACAACAAATTGTTTACTCATTAAACTTGTTATCAGATYAAAAATACTATTGATATCCCGTTAGTCTAATATCCTTAGTTGGGTTGTAGATAAGAAAAATTGGGATTAAATATTTTAATCTACAATAGATGTTATCTTTTAGTTGCTATTAATTTTTGACTATAATATGATAATTTTTGTATTTTGGATATTAGATATCGATATAAAATGATTTCGTTCTTGTTTTACATTTCATTCTGTGTTGTATTTTATACTATTAATGTTTCGGAGTAAAATGTTAAATTTGTAGATAAATTGTTAATTTTGTTAACTAATATATAATTTTTAAATTAATGAACCATTARTAATATATACACACAACCATCTAATTTATCACCATGATTTTTATGGTTATTTTTGTTTTATTATATGAGTGGGTAAGCAAATATTATAGTTTTTTATTTCACTCACCTATATTATTTTTAAAGATGAATTTTGTAACATCATTTAACAAAAATGTCTTAAATGTTACTACTTAAATTATTCAGGCAATGATATTTTTTAACCTAACAATTGATCTACATTATTTAGAGTATTCAAAAATTTTATTTAATATTTTAGGAATACAAATTAGATCATCTAGAAACGTGTAAAATTATGTTAATTTGTTTAAATATTGAAGTAGACTATGACTCATTTGACATATTATGTATATTATGTGATTTTACTATAGTTCATAATTGTGGTATCTACATAGGCGTAATTTGGGTTAGATTTATGGCGGTGCTAGATTTAAGTTGACCAAAGTCATAAATTTATCTCCTAATGCCTATGACATAAAATCATAAGTTATAAGTTTATAACCAATAACAATTTGGGAGTGCTATGCACCCTCAAGCACCCTCAAAATTGCGCCTATGGTACCTATCTATTTCATACAGATTATTGATTTATATATGAAATTCATAAGTAATTCATAATTTACGATTTATTAATATTTTTATTTTATAGATTATTCAACWTGGATTTCAATCAGAAATTATATTTTATCGGGAATTAAAATTGTTCAATATTGAAGATTTCAATTGAGTATTTGACTGAATTTTTAAACTTGTGAGGTATAAAAATTTATAAAAATTTGTTTGAGTTATTAATCAATAATTTACCTATAAAAAATTTAATTTATAGGTCGTTTTTAAAATTAATCATTATGATGGATCGTAGTGGAAATGATATTAATATGACTGGAGACAGTGATCTAGATGATGATGGTTGTTTGTCTTCTGATGACTGTGATGGAGACTCTAACCAGAGTAAAAGTGATTTAATGTCTGCAGCAATGGGAGATGATGTTACTGCACAGCTTGCTGCAGCAGGTTAGCTCAACGTTTTATTATTTTTTGTGTTCTAACAATTGGCACTTTTTATTTTTACTATTATTATTTATTATTATCCACTGCTTTTTTTTAACATAGAGGATCTTGTTAAACAATACTTGATAATATAACTATAAAAATAATGAAAACAGTAGACATTTATTTTATGTTGTTTCTATATTTTAATAGTTTTGACTATATATTATTTTTAGTTTAAATATTAAAAAAAAAAAAAAATGGTTTAATTTTGTAATTATGCATGTTTTGTCTTTATTTTGTTTTGCACAATTTTTTTTTTTTGTTTTGCGTGTGTGTGTTTGTGTTTGGCTGGTAGAAAAACGCAATAGCGGATCGTCGAACACTAGGGGTCTTTGTTATGGTTTGTGTCGATCAGGACCAGTTGGAATGGCTGCTGCTGCTGCAATTGTGTCATCAAAAAAGAGAAAAAGACCACATTCATTTGAGACCAATCCATCAATTCGAAAACGACAGCACAATCGGTTACTACGTAAACTCAAAGTGAGTTTTTAGTATT